ATGCAGGGATGAGGACGATGTAAGTTACAAATGCCCACAATATATATATACGAATATAGCCATAGCGTGCCATCTGCCAAGTGAACAATAAACTACGGGGCGAGCGCGGAACGGGTCAGCCGTTCCCCGGATGTTGTCAGCGGCTCGCAACACTAGTGTGCCCGTGACGAGATCGATCTTTTGTTTTGCGCGGTAAACTGGTTATCTTAAGCCGCTATGCTGTCAAGTGAGCAAGAAGCAGCACTGCTGCTAGCTCTTCTGGCAAGCAGCAGCCTTGCAATGCATGAAGAGGAAAAAACGTCGCTGAAGCAACGACGATGCCAGCGGCGTTGGTGGGTCCGGCCTGCTTTGCAGGAACGCGCCAACCTTGGTCAGGCCAACAAACTGCTACCTCTTCTACGAGATCGAGACGTGGAGTTTTACCGAGAGTCAGTTCAACTCTGATTACAACGTTCGCTTTGGTGCCCTTGGGTGCATAGGTGTTTTGTAGCGCTTCACGCAGTGCCATTTGTATCTCCTTAGGTACATCACGATGCCTCCCCGTTTTTTCGACACGCTGTTGCAACTTGTGAAACATCATATTGAAAAAAAGGACACCAACTTCCGGAAGGCAATCAGTCCCGAGCACCGACTTGCACAAACTTTGAGGTAAGGTTGCCTTATGAATCGTCCAGAGCATTCATTTGCTTAGTGTGGCTGTGAAATGTGAAGTAAGGAGCGAGAATTTCACACTTTTCGCGCAGTTAGATGCGGCTACCTTGGTACAGGCAATGTTTACTATAAATTTTTATTACGTAGTGTCAAAGGGTCATTGTATATGTACGTGCATGCACTTCATGGCATTCGGTTTGTCTCGCTAAATAACATTAAGAACTAGTCGTAACTGCAAAAAGCCACCCGACGAAATGTCGTAAAGGGGGATGTTGTGAGTGACGTTTATTTTTTTTTTAAATATGGACATTTTCTCATTACTTAAATCCTGCACCACCATGAAGACGTGCACTCTCCTTGCTTGTACATTTATTTCTTCTCAGATTCTTGGCTGCAGGGGAAACACTTCGTTGCTCATCTTTTAACTTTTTGAATGGTCGTTTGACAGCGTGCTATATTGTGTCGACAGTGTGCCAGGTGTTCTGGGATGTACTTGGTCCTATATACGTTGCCCGTCCATCAAGTGCAGGCGAGTGGCTACAGGTAAAATTTACGTTATAAATGCATGTTGCATACGTTCAACCTGGAACATTTGGCTTGCCTGTTCAACGTCTACCTTATTTTTTGCTGTACAAACACGACGTGTGTTATTCCCACAAAAGCCGTTATCGATATTTTCATTTCATCAGATTGCAAAAGAGTTTGAGGAACGTTGAACATGCCACACTGTGTTGGTGAAATTGATGGAAAGCACATCGCCATCGAATGCCCTGCCAAATCGGGAAGTGAAGACTATAACTACAAACACTTCTTCAGTAAATCGATGCTTGCTGTCAGCGACGCCTGCTACAGGTACATGTTTATTTACTCTCGATGCAACAGAAAGTAGGAAGTGGCAGTATGTACATATAAATGCGCGCAAAATTGTGAAAAAGCTGTCTTATAATTTTTAGCCTTTAAAAAGCTGGTGTTACATTTCAGGCTTTGTAGTTGCACGGCCACTGGATGAAAAAGCTTCCAGCCGCCGTCGTATTTGCATGGACGGTTGCTATCTATTTGTTTTGGCCTCTGCATGTAAACAATCATAAAAGACATGCATGCTAGTGCTTGATGAAATAATGTTTTAACATTTTCAGGTTCATTTATGTGGAGATTGGGCACCATGGAAGCAATTCAGATGGTGGAGTATTCAGCGAAAGCCAACTGCCTCATATTATCTTTTCGAAGAATGAAGGATTTCTCCCTGATGCACCACTGGGAAACATTGGCCGCATTCCTTACTACCTGGTCGGAGATGAAGCGTTTCCTTTGAAGACATACTTGATGCGGCCGTATCCTCGGAAAGGCAAGTTGCCCCTTTGATTTCTTTTAGTACTGGAGTGCATTGCTCTATGCTATTAATCTGAGGCGGTTCAGTACTCAAATCACTGTAGTGACAAGCAGCCGAAACATGACGCCATAACTAAACGCTGTGCTTGATTTATGTTAGAGGCACTAAAGCACTTCACCACATATGGGCGCTTCTCTTTGAAAGTACGTTGCTTTTCTCTGTGGAAGTATGTTTTTGATCAACTTTCATGAACATGAAACAAAAACATGGCACAATGTGTTCATTGATCGTGTGCCTATGTGTTCTGTGCTGCGTTACTGTGAAGCTCTATCAGGATGAGGTGTTTTTCATATAGGTGCGGGGATAACCATTTATGCAGGTCTTCAACCGTTCCTCACTTCAGCACCTGAAGAGGCATCTCAAGGAGAAAAAACCAACTGCGAACCTATCGCCTTTGCGGAGGCACACAGCAAAAGGATTTTCAATTACCGCCTAAGCCGAGCCCGTCGGGTGATCGAAAATGCATTTGGCATAATGGCTCAAAGATGGCGTATCCTGCGGCGTCCTTTCAAAGCCAAAGACGATAACATCCGGCGAATTATCTCCGCATGCGTGGTCCTTCACAATTACATGATGAAAGAGTCGGAGACATCTCGGTGCGCCTACTACCCTCCAGGGACAGCTGATCAGGTTGACTGGCAGGGTAACATCACCGAAGGCAACTGGAGAGCTGATGACACCAGCAGTGCTGCTCTGCCATCTCTACCGAAGACTGGCTGCCACGCCACAAGGTAAAGATATTTTCATGTGGCAAGGTTCACGGTGGGCCTTAAATTGTAAACCATGTATTAGCATTAGCCACAATAAAAGCTCATCCATACGAGTGGCATAATTTGCAGTGCTGTGGTATAGTGTATTTCACTGTCTAGAAATTTTTCTCCCAGGTTTGCTTACGAAATGCGGGACCTCCTGGCAAAGCACTTCATCACCAACGGCAAGGTGCCTTGGCAAGAGAGCAAGATAATGGACACAAGACTGTACAGTGGTGAGTGCACCATTTATTGTTATCATGACAGTCATGCAGAGAAACAACCTGATCATCCTTGTCATGTCTATGATGAAACACTAAAACGGTTCTGTAAACGTAGACACAACTGCCACGATGTTTTAAAAAGTGTGCATTATGTTGCAGCACAAAACAGGAAAATACTGACTTCAAACAAAGATGAAAGCTAGAGGTGTTCTGCTGTATGTCCTGAGGTCTGCTCTTTACAATTCACAATACACATGAAGCAACCTGCCCAACAGAATCAACTCAACTTACAAAGCTGCGACAAAACACTTGCTACATACACTTTTCATGCATATCGTTTTTCAACTATATGCATGAAAAGTGTATGACAAGACTAGACATTGACTGAGTGTGCGTGCGTGTGCTGCCGAATATGCTATGTTTATCTCTGTTCCCTCTTTCCTCTATCTTTTATCTCGCCCATCCCCCTCTCATGCACAGGGTTACAAACCGGCTGCCTGTAGGCTGGTGAACCTCCCTGCCGTTCTTTTCCTCCTATTTTCCTTCCTTCCATGTTTTTCAACTAGGGGAGATGCCACTCGAAAAGTGAAATTTATATTTTCCTGAAATAGAAATCTTATCACTTGCTTTACCAAGTTTATTTTGTTACTCGGCTGCTGACCTGCAGGTCGCGGGTTCAAATCCCGGCTGCGGCGACTGCATTTCCGATGGAGCCGGAAATGTTGTAGGCCCGTGTTCTCAGATTTGGGTGCACGTTAAAGAACCCCAGGTGGTCGAAATTTCCGGAGCCCTCCTCTACGGCGTCTCTCATAATCATATGGTGGTTTTGGGACGTTAAATCCCGCAAATCCAATCCAAGTTTATTTTGTGTACTTTCATAGAAAATAAATCAGTGTTGTAAAAAAGCAAGTATTAAGCTAAAGTCCAATTTTAAAGAACACTTTAAAGTCCAATTTAAAAGTTCAATTTTAAAGAACATTTTAAAGCTAATCGCCAAATTCGAGTTCAAGCTGGCTTCACTGATTTTTTTTTGCATCACTACTTGTATTGCTGTTATAGCATCTACCTGCTGGTGGGAGTTTAACAAGCGCAGCTGTTGCGCCAATGTCATGCCGAAAAAATAAGGTCGTGCTCTTCCTTGGATTCCTGTGCTGCTTTGACGGCACGCAGTTGTTGAAGGCATTCGCTTGCGATGTCAATGTGGGAGATTGTCTTTGATGAACTGAAAAAAAGCAATGCCTACTTTAGACACATGTTTGTTACATTGTCAGAGCTTTAGTTCTTACGATGCACCACTGGCCGCTACTCTTGGAACCTTGCGTGGCCTGCCAGTGAAAAACAAGGAAACTGAGTGACATAACGCCAGGAAAGGGAAGTATCGTAACATATAGCAAGTGCGAATGCCGGATAAAAAAAAGCTGTCATGCTTCTGTTGGAAGAACTTACCACTCAGCCTGCTTCCTTGTATTTTCTTCACCCTCTGGACTGTCTGACCTACAAAGTAGATTGGTGTTGGGTACATGAATATTGTATTACAGCTAAAGAGTAAAATAAAACGTGCAACGTTTCACTTCGGATATTTTATGTTAAAAAAATTGCTGTGACCTGTCTGTCTCGGTGTTTGCAGGTGTTGCACCTGACGAAGATGCAGGCTGTTCTAGAGGCTCATCCAAGATGACTGTGACATAGTTGTCACAGTCACAGTCGACCTGGCCCTCATCTGCGTTGCCACTGCTGCTGTTACTTGCAGGCGCTGGACTCCGCTCACCTGATGCTCTATGTGAAACGTCGGAAAGATGAACTCGCGTGAAACATTTGTGATGTGGAGAAAGTAACATTTTATCAATGAGAAATAATTATTGTTGGTGAATGTCGCAAAAGCACGATGATATTACGAGATGAGATGCTGCTTAAACTTTATTTTCTGAATGCACAAGTGGTGTTAACTTCATCAGGTAACATGCTTTTGCACTGCAAGCCGTATTTGCTTGACTCATAAAAAAGTGCGCCTCACAACGTTCACTTTTACCACATCCATTCCTTCACGCGTTCATTTGATTGTTAGCGTCTTTGGTAGGCATGCAGAAAATGGCTTTTTAGGTGATAGCAATTGTTTTCATCATCTTCTTAGCACTATCATACATTTTCCTGCTGGCAAAGTTAATTCTGTACCTGTCTTACAACTTACTGATCGGAATTGATGAATCCTACGTTTATAGAAATGCTGGAAAACATAAACATTTTTTTAGTTATGCTACAGCAATCAGGCCTTAAAAAATTTCGATGAACAAGTTATGCAGTATGCTGTGTTCTTTTTATAAACATTTACTGATCAAATATGTTAATGTCATCTGGTGTAATTGCTTCCTCATTGTAGTCTTCCTGATTTTGTAAATAAAAGTATGCTGATTTATTTGTTAAGCTTATTGGACATCAACAAGCAAGGAGGCCAGTGCATCAGTAACTATGAAACGTTTACTTTGTGCTTTGCATTTTGTGTGTACGTGTTCACTGATGTGTCACTCTGAAAATTGCTAAACAGCATAACTACTAAGCTCAGAATCTTATGCAGTAGTGATCTACCATTCTATCAGCTCATCGTGGCTGCAATATTTGTTCTCAGCTGACGTATTTCGTTGTAGGGGCATTAATGAATTCTTGATTTGTTGTGCAAGTAAACAAACTGTGATTTTCTTTTTAGCATGTGCAATTGTGGCCGGCAGTTCTGCATACAGGAGAAAAGTATGTCTTTGTGTTGTTGTTTTTTTGAAGTTGTGTACACTTTCATTGCATTGATTGATTTATAAAAAATAAAAAGGATCACAGACTTTGGCTTACATTGGTTCTTTGAGTATGGGACCCATCAAGGACATCATTGCCTCGAAATGCACCCATTTGACGGTGGGAACATCTGCAGCCCCTGCACCACTTTTCATGGAGCCCTTAATTTTGTTCTTGTGTTTCGTAAAGGTGTCTTTTAAGTTCTTGAATTTTGCATGTGCTTGCATTCCTGTGAAGAATTCAGTTTACGTATTAGGCATGCTTTTCACATCCTTGAAAATTTTACACCAACACAAGGTGAATGTCGCTAGGTTCAGAAAACAGTAAGTTGCTTGCATATATTTACGGGACGGAAGAGCAGCACGTAATGCACAAGACAATCTAAGTATGCATACCTGTATGACTCGCTCGTTAAAATGCGCGCTCTTTTTAACCCTGCGCGTAGTGATAAATTTTTATTTCTAGAGAGGACCTGCTGCAGAGTGCACCTGCTTTAGAAAAACACCTATGCTTTCATTACTTCTTTTTGGTAAGTATAGCCACACTCGCCCTATTCAACCAGCTAAGCAGCGTATTGGGAAACGTTTCTAGACCTTAAATTAGGTTGCTATTGTGTTCAATTCAGCACAAACGTGCTTCGAATGATGCGCCTTTACAATGCATCAAGCCAGCACAAACGTGCTGCCTTTCGGTGTCAAATCAAATTCAACTCATGCGGCATTCGTGTATACAACGCAGGGCAAGCAGGATGATGTACAGACGTGCACAATGCCCGCCCTGTCTCCCTTGCAGCGTACCTGCATCGCTGAGCCCATCGTTCAATGAGCACGATGTCTGTCTAGCATTTCCGTTGTTGACATCAAACAGCGCACTGAAGAGCACGATCAAACTGCCAGTACGCGTGCGTTTCCACGTTCGTTGCAACGCGGACAAGAAGCATGAGTACTTCCACAGCACAAGGTGTTCGCGATAAGGAGCAAAGCAATATAGGCACATAAACTCGTACTTACCAGCCATTCCAAGCTCGCTTGCGATTTCCCCCCATACGTCGTCCTTAAGCAAGCTGTACTTGCGTTTCGGGTGACGTTTATCGTACAGGACGGGGTGGTTGCGAACCAATTCGATGAGCATTTCAGCTACGCGCACGCTACTCTACTGCGACAAGACAAGCGAGTTGCTCTCGGCCGCCATTTCTTCGAGTTCCTCGGCTAGCGCCCCCTATTGGTTCGCGGCGAGCCGATTCGGCGGCAGACGCCGCAAAAATCGGTCCGGGAGCGATCGGCGCGGAGAGGGCCCTTTCGGCGGATCTCGCCACCGCCGAACCGGATTCGGAGCACTTTCGGCGTCCGGAATGCTCAGTGTGAACACGGCTTAAGAAGCTTCGCCCCTAAAACGAAGCGCCCCAGCACGCCGACGCTGCCGGCGGTAGCCACCCAGAACTTGGGCGCGGAGTGCCAAAAAAAAGAACGTCCGCCTCGAACAACTGCCCGTCACCAAATTATTTGTTCACAGCTTGTTATGTCTGGCGTTGTCGTCGTCCCATACAAGCATTTCTGAAACGGTAGTGAAAAAATTTTCAGATCCCATCTGCTGTGGGAATCAGTAGTATGCGAAGCACAAATGAGGTAGTTTGATAGGTCACTTTAAAATAAGCCCAACGTTACGAGGTGGAAGTAAATCATGCCGTACATGACTTCCGTGTCATAATTATCATGTTTGGATAAGTCTATTGCCTTTGTCATCTATTCACTTCACGTGATACCAAGTTTTTCTCGCTAGGGGGCCAGGCAAGGCTGGTGTGCCTCGCATGAGCTCCGTATTCTACGAAGTTTTCGTTGAACCAAGACTGCTTTTTTGGTGCCCACAGTGATCTCTCTTGAACTTCAGCAAGTTGCCGACGCTGCTGGTAAGTGCCTCAAACCTCTTTGTTCCTGGGGAGCATTGCATGCTTCAATTCTTGATGAGCAGGGAAACGCCGCCTCGTTAGCCCTAACGCCACCGGCACCGGCGTCGGGCTCGCGCTTCGACGCGCGTGCGCAAGTTCATTCGGCAATGCAATGGCATCCATGGTGAGTGGCACGAATTTACCTGCCACAGAATTTAACCCAGAAGAATGGAGTGTAGTCCTGAATGCCCGACAACGCTCACCTCAACAGCAGTCAAAAGAAACTGAAGGAACGCAGTCAAGTAAAGCGGCGTCAGCTGCCGAAACGCCAGCGCGCAAAACGTAATCACCGCCCAGCGTTTCCTCAAAGCTCGACCACACAGCTGTGGCGCGTTCTCGCTTAAAACGACTGCCACGGTTGCCAGTCGATGACTTCAAGATTGTCTTTCGTCCGAGTGCGGGCGTAGATCTGGCCCAATACAACGATGGAGAGTTACGAGCGGCTGTAATCGCCAAAAGCGGACTGCACTCTGTGGTTGCCGACGAAGATCTTGTGTGCACCAATCTGGCCAAGAATATTTTCACCGTGTCCACATCTTGCGCCCACCGAGTTGCCAACTATGCAAAAATACGAGAACTTACGTTACGTGGTAAAAAACTGGGATTTCACACGTACATAGCTCCCCCGGACGGGGCACGGGCAGGGATCATCTACCGCGCTTGGAATCGTGAATCCCCTCAGGACTTGCTTCAAGAATTACGTCGGGCGAATCCCCTTCTACCAATACTTATTTATTTATTTATTAGAATACCCTCAGGGCCCGTAGGGCATTACAGAGGGGGTGGGTACAACATATATAACACACAAGAAAAAAAGACAAAATAAAGAAACAAGTGTCAGATGCGCAAATCAGGAAGGCAACATAAGTCAACTAAAAATGTATAAGAATTCAAGCACATACAAGACAAAGATAGATAATGGAAACTGCGTATAGTTACAAGCATTGCTGAGAAATTGCAGTCTTGAATAACAAAGGGTCTGTTATTGATACAACGGAAGAGGGAAGGTGGTTCCAATCGGCAGCTGTTTTCGGTAAGAAGGCTGCTGAAAAGAATTTGGTGCGGCAAAACGGAATGGCAACCTTATGCTGATGATCAATGCGCGATGAGTGGTATGACGGTTGTGAAATGAGGTCTCGCTTCATTGATGGATTGTGAAAAAATATCTTATGAAAAAAAATGCAGTCGCGCCAGTTTCCTCCGGACAGTTAAATTGGGTAGGTCAAGGTTAGATTTCATTTCTGATATGCTAGCAGTACGGGAATAATTAGAACAAATGAACCGAACTGAGCGGTTCTGAACAGATTCTAACGCGTTAATTAAGTTTTGCTGCACGGGATCTCATATAGCGGACGCGTACTCAAGCTTTGGGCGAATTAGTGATCGGTATAATAGAATTTTGAGGGACAGCGGAGCGCGAGAAAAGTTGCGGCGTAAGTATCCTAGCGTTCGGTTAGCGTTATTACAGATGTAGGTAACATGCGTGTGCCAAGATAGATTGTTGGTAATGTAAACGCCGAGGTACTTATATGAAGAGACATGCTGGAGGGGAACGGCGTTAATTCTGTAGGTACGGGGGGGAGAAATAGATCGCCGGGTTATTGACATGCATTTAGATTTGTTAGAGTTGAGAGTCATAAGCCATTTATTGCACCAGGTTGAGACAGTGTCAAGGTCTGACTGTAGAAATTGGTTATCATATTCATTGTTTATTTCGCGGTAAATTACACAATCATCTGCAAATAACCTTACAGCGGAGTTAATGCTGTCTGGGAGATCATTATTATATATAAGAAAAAGTAAAGGGCCTAATACGGAACCTTGGGGTACGCCGGATGTTACTTTAGAAAGAGCTGAGTTATAGCCATTAGTTGTTACAAACTGAGTGCGATTAGTCAGAAAGCATTCAATCCATTTAAGAATGTTCGGGTCAATGTTTAAGGCACTAATTTTCAGGAGGAGT